AGCTTGTGAGAGAAAAAGAATCAGGAGGAAATAGAGTAGCTGGATGTGGTGGTACCTGCCTTTAATCCTAGCACTCTAGAAGCAGAGGCAAGAAATAGAGTAGCTGGGTGTGTGTCGTGACCCAGCATGTCTCAGCCTTAGTCCATGGGGTTCTACCTGAGTGGGGGTGTGTGGACCTGGAAGCTCCTAGAAACCCAATGGCGATAAAGACCAAACACAGGCATCTTGTCATCTTTAGAGAGCTCTCAGTTCCATGTTGTGGAACTAGAGTCATTTCTTTATTGGCCATCTTCCCTGGTGTCTCTTAACCATCCTGATACTACAGGCAACCATTTCTCTCTTTGTTCTCCTCTTGCCTCTCGCCCACTTCCTTCCTAACCTTCTGTCCTTGTTACTCACATACCTCCAGCCCTCCGCCCAGGTGAGGGCCTATTCAGATACTTAGGCACATACAGATGCAAATAAGAGGCATATTACCCTCAGGCCATGGCAAACAAAAGTACCCTGCTGACATTAACAATACAGTAGTGGGCCGGAGTTTCCTGGCACCACCGCTGTTTATGGTGACCAGAACCTGGGACCCGATATTCAGTCCCCCACAGGTGTGGTGGCACACGCCTTTAATCCCAGCACTCGGGAGACAGAGGCAGGCGGATCTCTGTGACTTCAGGAGCTCTGCCTGGTATACAGAGTGAATTCAAGGACAGCCAAAATTACACTGAGAAACACTGTCTCATAAAAGAAAAAAATGAAAGTAAAAAAAAAATAGAGTAATAAAAAAGCCACGTAAAGATGGAAAATACACAGAGAGTCTGGATACTATATGCTATACTGTTGTCTTTAAATTGTTTGATTGCCAAGGAAAGAGTTATTGCTAAAATACATTTCATTATAAGTGCTGCTGAATTAATCCAACTTACACATTTTAACAATGTTTTGATTTCAAAATTTAAGTCTAAGGACAAGCTACTTAGGAAAAAAGTTTTTGCTTGCGTTTCCACAGAAAATGAAAAGCTGTGGATTCTTCTAGACTAATATGGTTTGATAAAGCAAGACCACCTGAAGCAGTGGCCCAACTGATCCTACATCCAAAACAGCTGAGATGATGCAGTCATAGACCACTACTGCCAGGATTTCTAGGTTTTCTCAGGATCCCCATGACATTGCCCCCAACCAGCAGGTAGCAGTTTGGAATGATCAACACACAAATTCCCAAATATTGTTTATAAATGTTTGTTTTCATTTAAATGGGGTTGGTTATAAATGGTAATGATCACAGTTAATCTCTTTTTAAAGGAAAAAAAAAGGGGAATAGGATATAGGGATGAATACTTTGCATTGTATGGATTTTCATTTATTGATACAACTTTAAGGTCAAATTTGTTATTTGTAAATTTCTCCTCTTGTTTAGGTATTGTGTTTATACTGATCTTTTAAAATGTAATGCATAATTAAATACAGATTATATAGTCACCTATAATAGTCACAACCTACAATTAGGTTAGTTAGGTTTTCTAGATTTGCAAAGATGATTTGAGAGGGATAGATATTCTCCAAATCTTTCTAAGACCTACAGAATATATGGCATTTAAATGGTTTAGGGTTTTTCTTGGCAGTGAGACACAACTGCTCCTGGCACACCAATTACGTCAGAAAGGAGGATGGGCATCGAAGAAACTCATTATGGAGTTTGCCTTCAAAATGGCAAGATTAGCCATTTGGGCAAGAAACTGCTCTTGCCTGGACTGTTTGTTGCTGATACACTGGACATGCAGGACCCACAAGAAAGTGACTGCTGAACTTACAAAACAAGATGAACAGTCCTGAAGGGTTCCTGCTTCATGAGAAGTCTGGCAAAGTCAAGTAGTATGTTGCTGGTAGTAGTTGTGAGTGAGTTTAAACATTGTAGACCGTGGGAGTATCCCTGTTTGGGGGAGTTTTCCCTGTAGGGAGGAATTAACATGAAGAACCAGATCTGTGACTGTATGGCCTAGACTTACCTATGTGTATGTACTGAGCATTTTGTCACTATGGTGGGGACATTTATCAGTACTGATCAAGTCCCCATATTTGTGCATTGAACCATTTGATTGCATAAGGAGTCATCTATAATGATCTGACAATTAGTCCTACATATGTGATCTGTTAAGAAAGGGAACAGAACCTGAAACACTGACTTGGGGATCTAGCTATATGGGAGGCGATACAAAATACAACCCTACGCAGACACACTGTGGCCTGTGAGCTGAAGATGGATGCCTCAAAGTTACAGAGGAACTTTGGGTAACTGTCTACGTAGTGAGATGTCTCTGTCAATTCTAGAGTTTATATATTATCCTTCTGTGGTCTTTGATGGAGTTGAAGACAGATAGTTATTCTTCAGTTATTATAAAAGATAAGTTACCCTTCTTTTTCTTTAGACAGAAAAGAGGAGATGATGGGGAATGCCCTTCTGTGTGTGTTTACCTTATTGGTTAATGAATAAAGCACTGTTTGGCCAATGAGGCAGAAAGACAGGTGTGACTAGGAATCAAGGAGGATTCTGGGAAATGACGTAAAAAAAGTCTTGTGATACAGGCAGGAAGTGACATAGCAGGCAGACTCATATAAACAAGGCAATAAGGAAGTAATTCCTTTTTCTCTCTTCCTCCTGGTCTCTGCTCTAGAGTCGCCATATGATCTGCCAGCAAGAGAGGGCACCAGTGGAAGGCGTCCTCGATAAGTCTTATAAAATATGTAGATTTGTGATAATTAAGACTGAGCTAGCATACAAGAAATCCTAGTTGATTGGCCAAGCAGCATTTCTACCTAATATAAGTCTCTGTGTGTTACTTGGGACCTTAAAATGGCAGTGAGTGGGACTCGGGCAGCTGGCAGAAGGTGCCCACCTGGCAGCAGCACTCGGGCAGCTTTGGCAGACTTATTGTTACAAAGCTCATAAGCTTCCTTTGGAGAATCTGTGTTTTTTCTACCAGGAGAAGCTGAGAGAAAGTTTTTTTCAAGTTTGTTTTTCCCCAAGCACCTTTAGGTCAGAAGAAGCTGAAACTAAAGTAGCATACTGGACAGCCATTTCCTGAGCTCCACCACTGTGCCAATTAATATCTCTAACCCTGAAGTAATTTACACATATCCAGTATGATGTATAACCATCATTGCTATTTCCCAAAAAAGTTATCATCTCTAAATTCATTGAAAAGTACCTATTCTTCCTTCCATGCTGTGACCTCACCAATTTTAGAAAGTCTATGTTTAGAACTGTAATTTTTCCCTTTTGTGACTGGTTTCTTTTTCTTCACATGAGGCTTTTTTTTTTTTTTTTTTTTTTTTTTTTTTTTCTCTGTGTAGCTTTGGAGCCTATCCTGGCACTCGCTCTGGAGACCAGGCTGGCCTCGAACTCACATAGATCTGCCTGCCTCTGCCTCCTGGGTGCTGGGATTAAAGGTGTGTGCCATCAACACCAGGGTTGATACATTTTAATATGTATAGGAACTTGAATTATTTAAAACTTCATTGCATTAAAATTGCACATTTTTTTCTTGTCCATCATTTATAGATTTTTAGGTTGGGTCCATCTGTATGATATTTGTCAAAGCCTTCCTGTAAAAACAATAATGATCTGCTAGGAGTTTCCCTGATTTTTGTTTCTCAGTGACATCAGTACATTGCAGAATATAGCTATGAAGGTATTAACAAGAAAACCACAGGATCATCAGTACATTGCAGAATATAGCTATGAGTGGATTAATAAGAAAACCACAGGATCTAACACGGCTAAACATAAAACATACATTTAGAATCTAATAAAAGAGAATAGTTTTGTATAGATGGAAAAAATAGGACTCACTACTATGGAAGAATCAATCACTAGAAAGCAATCAATTTCTGACAAACTGGTTGAGGATGACATTAAGCAGTCCAACTGCAGCACATACCATATCAGATTGGCTTAAAAGGGGAAGACACGCAAATTTCCCAATCAAACTTGCAGAAATAAAATTGTGGTGTCTGTGATGAGAAATAGCTGCTGTAGGTGGCAGTAGATTGGAAACTCCAGAAGGAAGGACTGATGAATTTGAAGATGATATTCAAAAGGAAACACAGATAAAATGAGAACAAGGTATAAGTAAGCTGAGTATAACCTCAAATCGTCAAATAGGCAAGTAGGGATTCCAGCATAAAATTTTAATGTTGGTTTTTTTAAAGGCAAGCTATCTGTTTACAACAACAACTCTACCCTTCTCAGCTTTCTCTTCCCTATTTTGGTTTATTTTTCCAACTTCTCAGAAGCTTTTCCACTACAGCATCTGTGGCCTGCTCTTCTAGGTATTTCCTTTGACTGATATCTGTTTCCTCAAGTCTAGCCCTTTCCAAAAGGCAGGTGACACCTAAAAATTAGTGTATGTCTCCTTTAAACACTGTGATAAAACTTGAATTTATTCTGTTGTGGTTTCCTTTGGTTTGGGCCTCTCTGTTTTCCTGTTTGTTTCTTTTTGAAAAATGAAGTTTCTTGACAGTGTCTCTCACTATCACAGAGAAAATATGAGATTTTGTGAACAACTCTATGATGCCTGATTTTGAGAGCACCAGGCCTCTTCCACAGCCAGTAGAGGCGCAGGCCAGTGACTGCACAACTGGCCACTAGGGGGAACTGCCGGTCAACAGTGAGCAGCTGGCATGTCTTCAGGATATAGATGCAGGCAGAATCCTGGTATGGAGCTGTGGAACTAGAAAGAGTTCAGGTTCAAGAGGGACAGGGAGTCATCTTCATTGCAAACCCACTGGGCATTACCACAGGGAGCCATGATCTAAAGACATGGCAGTGCAAACACATGGAGACAGGAGAAGACAAGGAAATTCTTGACACAGAGGAAAGCATGAAAAGGACTTCTCCACAGTCTGCCGTATTTACTTAACACAGCCATTTCCCTTCCACAAAGCAGGCTGAACCTAAAGGGGGAGGGGTTGAGCCAGCAGAGTGTGCTCAAGGGTACAGAGAGCCTATGGGAGTCAACAAGATCACTGACATCAAAGGCAATGAGAGGAAAGGAGGAGAGAGAAAGGAGGAGCCGACCCCTGCTCTCACCAAGGAGAGCAGCATTCCGAGTAGAAGGATGTGTGGCTCTGCCTGGGGCCCCACCCTGCTCTGCTGTGTCACTGTCTCTCTCCTGGCAACAGGTAAGTCCTGAGCTCTGGAGGGACTGCTCCTCAGCTCCTTTACTGCTGCTGCATCCATGAACTCTTTCTCCAGATGCTCACTCCTGCCTCCTGCCTCCCCAGGTGCAGCAAATCCCGGGGTCATCCAGACTCCAAGACACCTAATCAAAGCACAGGGAGGAAGGTCCATTCTGAAATGCATTCCGATGTCTGGACATAACAATGTGGCCTGGTACCAACAGCCTCTGGGGCAGGAACTGAAGTTCCTCATTCAGCATTATGAAAAAATGGAGAGAGCGAAAGGAGACATGCCCAACCGATTCTCAGTCCAGCAGTTCAGTGACTATCACTCTGAGATGAACATGAGCGCCTTGCAGCTGGAGGACTCTGCTGTGTACTTCTGTGCCAGCTCACCACAGCCTCTCAGACAGACTGGCTTTCTGTCCCTTAATCTTCCTGTCCCAGCTGGTGCTGTACTAGAGAGGGGTGGGAAGATGCCTCATAACCTAAGCCAAAGCCCAGGAATGCTTGTATGTTCTACAAATACCCCCACTGCCCCGCTGAGCTCACACAGAGCATTCTAAACACTGGGGTGGGCAGTTTTACTACAAGCATAGACATTAACACATCCATTTTAAATAAAGATTTCTAAACATCACTTCAATAGGAATCAGTAGATTATGAAATTTCCTAACATTCCATGTTTAAGATAATCCATATAAGGACTGAAACTTGTATTTCTTTGCCTCTAAGCTAAAGTTCTGAATTTCCTTGGTGTCTCCCAATGTTAGTCCAAAGTAGCAGCTTACGTTCTCTTGTGTTGTAAGACTAGCTGATGTTAGTGTGTATATGTATGGGGTGCTGACAGCTTATAAATGTAGAATATTGGATCAGATAATGGTTGTATTGTCATAGTTTCAAGACGAGGTTTAATTTTCTACAAAATTTCTGTTCCTCTACAATCAAGCAATCAATTTAAATGGAATATAAGGAGATATTTAGGGCAGGTTCTTTGCTCTCCAGTGAAATCAGAGCATTGTCCAGAAGACCAACAATGCTGGTAGATCAGACCTTGTTTTGGAAACGAACCTATTAGCTATAAAATCTGATGTTTGCCACTCCAAACATCTAAAGTAGTAAGTGACTCTTGGACAGACTCAAACATGGACAATGACCTTTTTCCTTGTTGGCTCTTGGTCTCTGGGGACCAGCAAATTTTTGAACATTCAGAGAGATTCTGGGATGGCCAGAGTCTGACCTGCTTCTTCATATGGATGCTGGGCTACCCCCTTAGTCTCTGTGCCTGCTCTTGACCATTCTTCACCAGTACAGGACTATAAAAAATCACCATCAAGATACCTCCAGGATGTGTGGAAAGAAAAGGAGGTTTTATTCTTTGATACTATCTGGGTAAGAAGTAACTGAGCTATGGTTTATAGTAAGGAACCCAGAGTGGAGGCATGTGTTTCATGTTAGTGAATTTATGAAGTGAGCTTTTGAGTGAAGTGGTTTTACTTCCCTGGGAACCTAGAGGAACCAAACCTGCACATTACCCGGCAAACATCTCACCCACATTGCTGAAGGAGATTCTCTTGACAGGAATCTCAGTGAGAAAAGCTTAGGCCAGCCTTGCACTACATCACCTGAAGGAAAGTGAGGGAGGTTTTGTTTGTTTGTTTGCTTGCTTTTTTTTTATTGATGAGGACACAGTGAGGGAGGCCAATCCTATAATGCTGAGCCTGTGTTCATGAAGTGGTATGAAATAGCTTAAATAATTGGTTCAAGGGTGGGCATTCGTGGCGCATGCCTTTAATCCTAGCACTCAGGCAGGAGGATCTCTGTGAGTTCAAGACCAGCCTGGTCTACGAGAGCAATTTTCAGGACAGCCTCCAAAGCTGCAGAGAAATCCTGTCTCTAAAAACCAAAAAAAAAAAAGATTGGTTCAAAGTGTCATGAGTCAACCTTTGTGTTTTATAAGCTCTCTGGGTGCCAAGCAGTTCTTGTTGCCACCGATGGCACTGAAGGTTTATCTTCAATCATTTAGACAAAGTGAAGAACTAGTAGAAACTTCAAACAATACAGCATGCTACCAGGGTGCAACTGAAACTACATAAATAGTAAAAAAATAAAACAATGTAAAATAAGGTATGGTATTTTTGTAGGAATTCAAGAAACCTAATATGTTGAATAAAATCAGAGAAAGCACATGTATACATAAATACAAGACAAACTACAGCTCTTCTAAATCTCAGCTGTTTATTGTGTTTACCTGAAAATTATTGTGTAATATTATTGTGTAATCCAACTACGTCGATTATAATTGAAAGTTGATTGGCTACTGAAGGGAGGGGTATAGCATGTGAACTGTGCAGTTCAAGCATTTATTGGAGACAGTAACATCACTAAGTCACTGAGAGCCCAAGCTCTAGTTTCCACAAAGAGGCCTGGAAGACATCAGATCTTGTCTTGGTCCTGCGATGGACTTCAGGCTCTTCTGTGTGGCCTTGACTCTGCTGTGTGCAAGTGAGTGCTGGCCAGGACACAGCTGTGCTGTCCTCAACAGAATTCCCAAGTCTTTTAGCTACGATGACATCACCGGACTCTGTCTTTTCTATTACAGAGCACATGGAGGCTGCAGTCACACAAAGCCCAAGAAGCAAGGTGACAGTAACAGGACAAAAGGTGGAACTGAGTTGTCGCCAGACTTTTAACCACAATTACATGTACTGGTATCGGCAGGACCCGGGGCATGGACTGCGTCTGATCCATTACTCATATGGTCCTGATAACACAGAGAAAGGAGATGTCCCTGATGGATACAAAGCCACCAGACCACAACAAGCTAGCTTCTCCCTCGTTCTGGAGGTGGCTTCCCCCTCTCAGACAGCTGTGTACTTCTGTGCCAGCAGTGATACACAGCAATGTGTGTCTGCCTTTTCTCTGCACATAAAGTAAATTAGGAAGTCAAATTTCCTGTGTGCCCAAAGTCCCAGCCTCTGTAAGAATCACCGAGCTCTGACAAACTAGGACCATTGCAGCATGGGTCTCAGCCTGACGGAAGTGGACTGTAACATCTTTTCATGGCTGTTTGTCTATTCTCCACCCCTTGTTTCTGCTTTCAGAGAAGAAAAGTGAAACTTTCTGCTTTGTTTTGTTGTTTTTGTGACAGTTTCCCTGTATAGCAATCTTGACTGTCCTTGAACTAACTCTGTGGTCCAGACTGGACAAAAACTGTCGGAGATTCACCTGCCTCTGTCTCCCTAGTGCTAGGAATAAAGTCTTGGTCTACCAGTACTAGGCATGGCTGAAAATGAATCCTTAATTGAAGTTCCTGGTAACCTCTTTGGTAAGGTCACAGCCCTCATCTTTCTCCCTGTGGCCTTCCCTGAACTCTTCAGTCACTCTACTGTCCCACTGAGTTACTTACACGGTCTCTTACCAGGCTATGTTTCCTCTATAGATCAGTAGCCCCTTGGTTCTGTGGGACAATAACCCATAAGGTCATTTTCTTCCCTCATCTTTATCATCATCCTTTTCCTGGCCGCCCTAGCTTTTTTCTGCAGCTAAACTTGTCTACATCCCATTGTTTTCTCATGTGTGCTGTGGTTTTTTCAACTCTCGGAGAAGTTTTCCTAGGATATTTCTCCTAAGCTGGAGACACATCTTTCCTTCTTGTTCTGGATATCTTCTTCTCATGAAAATCTATTTCAGGTTGGATTATTTTTTTTATCTTAAGATTTTAATTTAATTATATTATTTCTCCCTTACTTCTTCCTCTAGTTCCTCACAAGATTCTCTCCTCTTTTGAATTCATGGCCTCTTATTCTTTAATTACTATTATTTTTGGGTTTTTTTTGTTTGGCACGAATAAACAAATATTCTCAATCCATTGAATCTATTTAGTGTTACACACACACACACACACACACACACACACACACACACACATATATATATATGTGTTAGGAATGTCCACTTGTGCTTGGTTAACCATGTAGGAGACTGTGGTAGTTTGAGTGCAATTTGCCCCATAAGCTAATAGGGAGTGGTACTATTAGGAGTTGTGGCTTTGTTGAAATAGATGTGGCATTATGGGAGAAAGAGTCTCACTGTGGGGGTGGCCTTTGAGGACTCTATTGCTCAAGCTTCATTTAGTGTGACATTCAGTTCACCTCTTGTTGTCCTCAGATCAAGTTGTAGCCAGCACCACATCTGCATGCATGACACCATGTTGTACTATGATGATAATGTACTAAACCTCTGAAAATGTAAACTATCCCAATTAAATGGTTTTCCTTTGTAAGAGTTTTGGCAGTCATAGTGTCTAACCTAACTAAGGCAGGAGCTGGTACCAAGAGTATGGTATTGCTGTGATAGGCCTGACAATGCTTTTGTTTGAAGGAACATGAACAGTGGGACTGTGGATTAGAAAAGTAGTTTAATGCTTTAAGTGCTACTTCATTGGCCATACTAGTAGGGACAGTGAAGAAAGTGGTGCTGAGTGTGATTTGAATTGTGGGCCATGGCTCAAGAGGTTTCAAAGAGGAATTTCAGTGTATTCCCAAAAGATCTTTCTTGTGTTATTTCACTGATGAATGTGGCTGCATTTCCCCTTTGTCAAAAGAGTCTACTTGTAGATAACATGAAGAGTTCTGGATTAATTCCCTTCGCAGAAGAAATCTCAAAACTGCCAAGTATAGATTCTCTCATGTGGTTATTAGTGTTATCTCTAATGAAGATTTATAATGAAAAAGAGCAAGCTGAGCAAGAAAAATATGAAATGTAATATTTGAGGAGAAAAGGAGCATAAATATGTAATGGAAGGTCATGTGTTCAAGGAGATGAACAGATTAAGAAATGGAATAAATGAAGTGGTGACCTCAGGGCCAGATGCCCCACAGCCAAGTTTCCAACTTGTGAAAAGTAATTAAAGAAAAGCGTACAGCTTAATGTGATGGTTCATGCCTTCAACCCCAATAGTCAGAATGCAGAGGCTTGTGGGTCTTTGAATTTGAGGACAGCCTGGTTTATAGAGCAAGTTCCAGAACATCCAAGCTTAGGTGATGAAGGAAACCATGGAAAACAGAAAGCTTATGAAGATGTAACTGAATAATTTCTGTGTCCAAGGCCAGCCTGGTCAATAAGTAAGTTCTAGAACAACCAAGCTTAGGTAGGAAAGGAAACCATGGAAAAGCGAAAGTTGGTGAAGATGTGAATGAGTGAAGGGGGAGGGCATGTTCCAGCCACAGTAAACAGTAGAACTTGGCAGCTTTGGCCATATAGTACTGGCTTTAAGAATACTAGGAAGGTGTGAAGGAATTTGCCTCAGTGCCTAAGGAAAGCTACAGTAATCAGGCATGTGTCAGGTCTAAAGAGGCCATTGCTTGAAGCTGTGATATTGAAGCCTGGATTATCTTGGAGATCCCAAGATGTTGGAGATGCCAGAGCTGTGGGATACCTGTCCAGGAAAGCTGCTAATAAGGGGTGGAATCACCCCCAAAATAAGTATGTGGTAGTCAACAAAGATGAAAGGAGTTGGAGTTCTGAAGAGTGTTTTGACATCAGATCTGGAGATGCAAAGTTTGGACTTTGCCCAGCTGGGTTTTGGTCTTGCTTCAGTCCAGTACTTCCTCACTATACTTTCTTCCCTATGTTTTGGAATGTTAAGTATGTGATCTGTTTATTGATTTTGATTTTATAGGGGGACTACAGTTAAGAGACTGCATGAATCTCAGGAGAAACTTTGAACTTTAGACTTTTAAACATTGTTGAGACTGCGATAGACTATGGGAACTGTTGATGTTGGAGTAAATGCTTTTTGCATGATGGTACTGTTACAAACTTATGGGAGTCAGGGATCAGAGTGTAGTAGTTGGAATTTAATTGGCCCCCATAAGATGAAAAGGAGTGGCCTTTTAGAGGTATGGCCTTATTGGAATAGGTGTGGCCTAGTTGGAGGAAGTATGTCACTGTGGGGGTGGGCTCTAAGGTCTCATTTGCTCAAGCTTCACTTAGTGTGACACGCAGGTCACTTCCTGCTGCCTTTGGATCAAGATGTAGCCAGAATCATGTCTGCCTGCATGGCACCATGTTGTCCTATGATGATAATGGACTAAACCTCTGAAAACATGAGACAACCCAATGAAATGTTTTTCCTTCATAAGTGTTGCCACGCTCATTGTGTCTCTTCACAGCAATAAAACCCTGACTAATACAGGAGTCATGCTGGGAAAGACAAACTCTCCATCTCTCAGTAGTCTTAATTTGCCAAAACTGCTAGAGTAATTTCCATGCCAGATTTCAGGATATATTATTCTTTTACTATATCTTGACAAATTTATAAATAAAAGTATCAGATTATCCTGTTACAATATTTCAGTAACTTGGCTCAGTTTGTGGTAATTGGGTAGAAAACTGCAGAAAGCTGCTCATTCCATATTATACAGAATGGGCAATAAACTTGAGTCAGTGGGCAGTGAGTTTGGAGATCCAAGTCATAGTCACCTTTATAGCATCATGAGAGGCCTGAGAAAATAAAAGAAGATATAGTTTGGAATTTTTGTCTCAGTGTTCCAAGGTTTTGGTTTATGATTAGTTGGACCTCCTGTTTTGGAGCCTATAATCTGGCAGAAAAACATGGCTGAAAGAATACAGCTGAACTAAGCCAGCCATCCCATACCAGCCAAGAAGGAGGAGAAGAGGAGAGAAGTGAAGAAAAGAGAAGAGATATTTTTAATTGCATGCCTCTAGTGAACTATATCCTTCTATGAGATGCTGCTTTCAGAAGTTGTCTCTATCACTCAATGCCCTTTAAAATGTAAAACAGCCCGTGGATTAGCCATTGGGGATATCAAAACCTTCATGATCTAACATTTCTTAAAGATCTTCCACTAAACACAGTATAGAGAACTAAGTCTTTAACATGTGAATCTTTGGAAGAATGCTTCCCATCCAAAGGAAATAAGCACCATTTTGCTTTGTAATATAGCCAACGTTGACTGATATAATTTTGTAATATAGAAGATTAGCTAATAAATATAGCAATACTCTACCTAAACCTTCAAGTCACAGAAGAGTAAATAGTAATTACAACAAAGCATTAACTTTTTTTAAAACTCTTAATCAGAAATAAAGCACCAGCAGATGAAGGGATGAGTCTTGAATTCAAACTTACCAGATAGGAACATTTTCTGTGGAATTACAAACAATGTGCACAGAGCTGTTGACTAGCAGGATCTGTGTTATACTACAGAAGAAAATTACAGCCACATCAGAAAACACTCCATGGGATGCTTCCTAGCAAACACAGTTTATATTAGTTACTAGTATATATGAATTACTTGGGTTCTTTCCCTTTACATACCTCATGGAGGATTCAAATATTAATATTCACTTTTGTCCAACTCACCTTTGTCATATTGAAGATAGTCTTTGACGTTTACTTTTTAAGGATGAAATACATGGTAACATAAAATTGTACTTTGACTGCTGTCCTGAGGCTATACTACTTTACTCTCTGCATTGTGTCTATGAAATGAATTCACAGATTAACAGGAGAAACACTATGCAAACTAATTCCATATCTAGGAACATGAAAGGAAAGGGAAATGAATATCTGAGCACGCACTGGTATCTAGAATCTTCTATTCCCTCTTCATGGGGTGATGCAGACGAGTTGGGGAAAATAAATTGTTTGGGGAAAGTTGAAAATGTCCATATGAGATGGATGTTAGACTCTAAGAAGTCTGTCTGGGCATGGTGTGGGCCTCCAGTGTCTCCTCCCATAAGTTAATCAATCCTCCCTGGTTGGGTGGACTCCCAGGGAGAGGCTCACAAGCTTCCTTTGGAGAATCTGTGTTTTGTCTACCAGGAGAAGCTGAGAGAAAGGTTTTTTCCTTATTTGTTTTTTCCAAAGCACCTGAGATCAGATGGAGCTGAAACCCAAAGTAGCATAGTGGGGTAGTCATTTTCTGAGCTCCGTCGCTGTTTTTATGTCTGTACCTATCTAATAGGATTTCTATTGTGAAGAGACCCCATTGCCTTGGCAACTCTTATCAAGGAACAACATTTAGCTGGTTTCTGTTTTCAGAGGTTTGGTCCAGTATTGTCATGGTGCTGGCTGCATGTTGACATGCAGTGGGACATGGTGCTAGCTATATCTTGTTCCAAAGACAACAGGAAGTGAACTAAGTGTCACACTGAGCTAATCTTGAGCAAAAGAGACCTCAAAGCCCACCCCTCCAGTGACACTTCCTCCAATAAGGCCACACCTATTAATAGTGCCACTTACTATGAGTTTATTAGGGGACAATTGCATTCGTTATCACAAAACCCCCTGTTTTTTGTACATATTCACTGTTGTAGAGCCGTCATTGCTGGATATTTCTTAATATGTTCTCCTGTACAAACCCTTTAAGCACTAGTGATTCTTTCTTTAAGCCCAGGATTTAGCCAATTTTTGGAAGTCTGAATTTTGAATTATAATTTCTTTCTCTTTGTGTCTCATTTCTTTCACTGCATATAACATTTGGTATTTTTAACGTATATACAAACTTGGCTTATTTCAATACTTCATTGTATTAAAATTGGATTTTTTAAAAAATTATTTATCTGCCTGCCTCTGCCTCTTGAGTACTGGGATTAAATGTGTGCGCCACCACAGCCTGGTTTGACTAGCCTGGTCTACAAGAGCAAGTTCCAGGACAGCTTCCAAAGCCACAGAGAAGCCCTGTCTTGAAAAACTGAAGAACAACCCCCCCCAAAAAAAACCCAAAACCAAAACTAAAAAACACTTCATTTATTTATTATGTATACAGGGTTCTGCCTGCATATAAGCCTGCAGGTGGAGAAGGACACCAGATCTCTTTCGAGCCTCCATGTGGTTACTGGGAATTGAACTCAGGACCTCTAGAAGAGCAGCCAGTCCTCGAAACTGCCAAGCCATTAGTCCAGTCCCCCATTTTATGGATTTTTAAGTTGTGTTCATCTCTATGTTATATATCTACCTTTGCCAAACCCTACAAGGGGCAACAATGATCTGCTAGGAATTTTGCCTTTTTTCCTCCTCAGTCACTTAAGCACATTGCAGAAAAATCTGTGAGTTTACTAGCAAGAAACCCACAGTATTTAACAGTGTCAAGCATAGAATATAGTGTTTGGCATCTAATAGAAGATTACAGCTTTTAAAACAAGAAAGACAAGAGGCCTCATCAGTAGGAAAAGCGTCATCACTAGAAGGCAACCTATTTCTGACACGTTGGCGGGCAATGACATTAAGCAGTATAAATGCAGCACACACCTTAACATATTGGTAGAAATGGGGAAGACATGCAAAGTTCCCAATCACACTTCTAGAAATAAAATTGTGGTGTCTGTGCTGAGAAATAGCTGCTGTAGGTGGCAGTAGATTGGATGCTCCAGAAGGAAGGACTGATGAATTTGAAAATGAGATCCACAAGGAAACTGACCTGAGGACAAGCTCAAATGGTCAAATATTTTACAAGTGGGGATTCCAATATAAAATTTTTAAGTGTTTTGAACGACAAGCTAACTGATACAACAATAATTCCAACACTGTACCCTTCTCCGTTTTCTCTTCCTTAGACAGGTTTATTTTTCCAAGCACTTAGAGGCTTCTCGCTTGATATCATCTACAGTCAGGCCATCTATGTATTTCCTATGACCAAAGACAGTTTTCTTCAAGTCTAACACCTTCTAAGGGCAGATGGTATCTAATGAATAGTCTGAGAAGACTCAGATTTTATTCTGTTGTGGGGTTTTTGTTTTGTTTGGGGTTTGGTACTTTTTCTGTTTGTTTGTTTTGAAAAAATGAAGTTCCCTTGATGCTTTGTCTTGCTATCCCAGGCACTCCTTGAGATGTTGGTTGGTAAATGAGTACTGACAACAATTCTGTGATGTTTTCTGGCTTACTCCTGATGCCTGATTGAGAGTTTCTAGCCATAGTTAGTAGAGGTGCATTGACGGCACACCTGGTCACTAGAGGGCACTGTAGATCAACTGAGAGAGCCTTGGGCAGTGCTTCAGAAGGTGAGTGCAGAGCTGTTATCTGGAGCCCATAGTAGGATATCAGCTGTGGAACCAGAAACAGTGCTGGCTCAGGAGACACAGGGCAGAGACCAGGTGGTCAATCATCTTTTCACATAAACTGGTCAGCAGCACAGGGAGCCATAAACTGTAGCCTTGGCAATCCAAAACCTACTGAAACTAGAAGAGAAAGAAGCAACTGTCTCAGAGGAAAGCATGAAAGGGACTTCTCCACAGCCAGCCATATTTACTTAGCACAGCCATTTCCCTTCCACTAAGCAGGCTGAGCCTAAAGGGGGAGGGCTTGAGCCAGCAGAATATATCTAAGGGTACAGAGAGCCTATGGGAGCCAACAAGCTCACTGACATCAGAACCTGACATCACAGGCAATGAGAGGAAAGGAGGAGCTGACCCCTGCTCTCACCAAGGAGAGCAGCATCCCAAGTAGAAGGATAAGTGGCTCTGCCTGGGGCCCCACCCTGCTCTGCTGTGTCACTGTCTCTCTCCTGGCAACAGGTAAGTCCTGAGCTCTGGAGGGACTGCTCCTCAGCTCCTTTACTGCTGCTGCATCCATGAACTCTTTCTCCAGATGCTCACTCCTGCCTCCTGCCTCCCCAGGTGCAGCAAATCTCGGGGTCATCCAGACTCCAAGACACCTAATCAAAGCACAGGGAGGAAGGTCCATTCTGAAGTGCATTCCGATGTCTGGACATAACAATGTGGCCTGGTACCAACAGCCTCTGGGGCAAGGACTGAAGTTCCTCATTCAGCATTTTGAAAAAATGGAGGGAGAGAAAGGAGACATGCCCAACCGATTCTCAGTCCAGCAGTTCAGTGACTATCACTCTGAGATGAACATGAGCGCCTTGCAGCTGGAGGACTCTGCTGTGTACTTCTGCACCAGCTCACCACAGCCTCACAGAGAGACTGGCTTTCTGTCCCTTTATCATCCTGTCCCAGCTGGTGCTGTAATAGAGAGGGGTGGGAACATGCTGCACAGCTCCTGTAGAGGACAAGAATGCATCAGTTCTGTATTAGCCCCTTCTGCCTGCCTGAGCTCCCAGAGAGCCCTAAACACTGGGGTGGACGCCAAGACTCCTGATGTTTTCACATGTCTGCCAGTACCTTCCAGGTCCTAGTCAGTGCTAGGAACCTTACTTTGTGTTGGGTGCTTGGGTGTTGACATAAGCTACGTGTTTCCTCACAAAGGTACACATTAGTGATTGATTTGTGGATGAAGACATGTGCATTCCACTTTATAGAAAAGAATTGATAACTTATGATATTATCTAAGAATTCATATTTAAAGATACCAATAATAGGATTAAAACCTACATTTCTTTGCTTTCAAGATCAAAGTGTGACTTTCCATGGTATTCTCTGCTATGGTAAAAATGGAGTGGTTCTCAGCCTCTTGTGTTAAAGACTAGAGGAACTTACTGTGTATGTGTTGGGGGTGCTGACAGGTTATACATATGAAATATTAAACCAGATAATGTTTGTTTCTTAACTTTCAAGATGTGGGTTACATTTTCAACAGAAGAAAATCTGTTACTCAGTAATCAAGCAATCAATTTCAAAGAAATATAAAGAGATATTTATGGCAGATGTTTCTCTCTCCAGTGAAATGAGAGCATTATTCAGAAGACTAACATTACTGCCAGATCAGAACTTATTTTGGAAATGAGCCTAAGGATTGGTGACATCTCATGCTCCTCACTCCAAACATTTAAGTCTAAAGTAGAAAGTGACTCTTTCTTAGACTGACTCAACCATGGGCAATGGCCTCCTTTGTTGGTAGCTGCTGGTCTCTATGGACCAGCAAAGCTCAGGACATAGACAGGAATGCAGTGTTTTGGATGTCCAGACCCTGTACTCAGCTACTTCCTATGGACGCTGTGATGATCCTCTTTTTCTTTGCTTCTGCTTTTGAAGCTTTCCTCACCAGTGTAGGATTATAGAAAGAATCCATCAAAATCCCACCATCATGGGTGGCCACAGAAAGGAGGTTTCAAGCTTTGATGCTATCTGTATAGGCGGTCGCTGAGATATGCTTAATAGGAAGGAACCAATACTGCCTCTGAGTAAATGTGTTTCATTTGAGTAAACTTACAACAAAGGTCATACAAAAGCTTTTGAATGAGTTTGGCATTTCTCTCTGTTACCTAAGAGGCACCAGCAGAGCATCAACTAGTCTTGCAGTGTATTTGTGTTAGTGGCCACACCCCTTTGGGTGTGGTTTCAGGTGCAGAAGGATGGAACTGGAAAGATGGAAGCTGGAGGCAGGCGCTTTCTCTCTTGTGCTCTCTCTAAGGGCTGAGAAAGGCTGCGGATGTTCTTTATTATTATCTGTGTAAGTTGTTCCCCAATAAATCACCCATTTATCATCTATCTTGGGTCTAGTGAACTCTCATTTCCCCACCTTCACGCCACACCTGCCCATTCCTGTGCAAAGAGCTCATCAACATTGAACAGGGGGTTTCCTCTTGACAGGAAGCATAATGACAAAACCTTAAATCCATCCTCAACAACCTCACTTGAAACAAAGGCAGCATTCTTGTGAGTGAGGGAACACTCTGGGCTGAGCCTAGAATGTGTGGCTTGTGTCCCTGAATTGGCATGAGATAGCTTCAAACATTTGTTCAAATTCTAGTATCCTTAATCTTGGTGTTTTATAAGCTCTCTGGGTGTCAAGTAGTACTTGCAGCCATAGACAACCCTGAAGGTTTTCTTCAAGTATTTAGACAAAGCAAATAATTAGTAGGAACCTCGTGGAATATATCATGTTCGAGAGTGGAACTAAGACTCTATAAATGGCAAAAAATAAAAATAAAACGGTTTAAAATAAGGAATTATATGATAATAATAAAAGTTGCTGATTAAACAGATAAAGTGTACATACACATTTAAATACAAAATAAACCAAAAATTCTATAAATCTCAGCCATTAATTTGTGTGTATCAACTCCAAATATTGTTGTGCAATCCAAATATGCAATTAGAATCGAATGCTTAGTTGTTTCTGTAAGGAAGGGGTGGGGCATGTCAACTCTGCAGCTGAAGCATTTGTTGGAGACAGTGACATCACTAAGTCATTGAGAGCCCCAGCTCTAGTTTCCAAATACAGGACCGGAAGACATCAGACCTTGCCTTGGTCCTGAGATGGACTTCAGGCTCTTCTGTGTGGCCTTGAGTCTGCTGTGTGCGAGTGAGTGCTGGCCAGGACACAGCTGTGCTGTCCTCAAGAGAATTCCCAGTCTTTTAGCTAAGATGACATCACCAGGCTCTGTCTTTCTCTATTACAGAACACATGGAGGCTGCAGTCACCCAAAGCCCAAGAAGCAAGGTGACAGTAACAGGACGAAAGGTGGAACTGAGCTGCCAGCAAACTAATAACCATGACTACATGTACTGGTATCGGCAGGACCCGGGGCATGGACTGAGGCTGATCCATTACTCGTATGGTGCTGGCAACACTGAGAAAGGAGATGTGCCTGATGGGTACAAAGCCACCAGACCACAACAAGCTAACTTCTCCCTCGTTCTGGAGGTGGCTTCCTCATCTCAGACAGCTGTGTACTTCTGTGCCAGCGCTGATACACAGCAACTCATGGCTGCCTCCTCTCTGCACATAAAGTAAATTAGCAAATCAAGTTGTTTGTGGCCCCCAGGAAGTCCCTGCCTCTGTAAATATTATCTCTTTCCAGGCTTTGTTTACTCTGTAGGTCAGCAACTCCCTCTGTTCTATAGGACAATAGCCCATAAGGTCCTATGTCTTTTTCTTCACTCATGTCATCCCCAGCCTTCTGAAGTTCTTTCCTCTCCAGCTAAACTTCTCTGCATCCCATTACTTCCTCATATGTGTTGTGCTGTTTTCCACTCTGGAGATATTTTCTAAGGACATTTCTTCTGCACTGAAGACATGTCTTTCCCTTGTTTCTGAGTCTCTCCTTCCCATTGAAATTTATTTCAAATAGAATTATTTTTCTTTTGCTTTTTAAGGTTTTCTTTTAATTTAATTGTTTCCTCCCCTAGTCTTCCCTCTAACTGTTCACGTTTCCCCTGCTTTAAAATTCATGATCTCATAATTTTTAATTATTATTTTCCTTTTTTTGCTGTGGTATAAATAAGCATATAAATGCAACCTGATGTCTATTTAGTGATGCCTCTAAGTATTTATATTTTGGGGGTGACATCTCTTGCTTGGAAAATGGGAGAGTAAAGAAATGCTGGCGGGATCAGCATTCCAGATGTCAAGGTCTGTGACTCATTTTCCAGGTCTTGATGAATTTAGAAATATAAATCTCATATTCTTTTGTCACAATGTGTCAGTAACTTTGCTCAGTGCATGGGTATTGGGTAGGAAGCTGATCATGCCACACTGCGTTTTACAGAACAGGCACTGAGTTTGGAGATCCATGTCATAGTCACCTTTCTGGCATCATGACAGAGCGAGGAAAATAAAGGAAGAAGGTCTGTTTTGCCTCTGTGTTTCAGTGTTTTGGTCTATGATTAATTGGACATGTGGTGTGACTGAAGAATATGACAGAACTGATATACCAATCTCATGACAGTGAAGAATGAATAAGAATAAGAATGAGAGAGAGAGAGAGAGAGAGAGAGAGAGAGAGAGAGAGCACTCTTTTAGTGCATGCCTCTAGAGGCCCCTTCTTTCTGAAGTTGTCTAGGTCACTCAATGTCCTTTCTATTATAAACCCATCTATAAATTCACCATTGGTCAAATCTAAGCCTCCATGATCTGACTTTTTTCAAAGCCCTTCCTCTGAGCACTGGTAGACCAGTAGTTATTGAGGGTTCAGGCTGGAGGCTTCCAGAAGGTGGGTTGGTGTTGGCTAACAAATTCTGAACTGAGGGTAAAAAGGAAAAAATAAAATAGAAAAAAAAAAGAGAAAACACTCACACATTCGTTTCTTTCCTGGCTCTTTATTCTTCAAGAAATGTTCTTCCCCAAACTTCTCTGTCAAAAGGCTCTTTTTTAACATTTCTCCTAAAAAGTTTTCTCTAATAGTTCTTCCTGTATAGCTCTCTCCTAAAGTTCTTTTTCAAAACTTCTCCTTAAAAATTCTCCTAGAGTCCTTTCTAAAAATCCTCTAAAAGTTCCTTCTAAAAATTCTCTTGAGGTCCTTCTAAAAAGTCTCCAAAAGTTCTTTTTTTCTAAAAATTCTCTGAAAGTTCCTTTTCATTCCACAAGGCTTCTAGTTTTTATATCCACAGACACATTTAACAACTCTCTCACAATTCGGCATACATATCTCTCAGAGCCAGGAAGGCAGATAAAAATCTTGACAAAAGCACGGTCCCTCATGTGTTGGGAGGAGGAGAGACCCATGATTGAGAGACACAGGTTTTCTAAAACATGATGTTAACTTATTCAAGGGGACTTCTCCGTGCTGTGTCAAAGGAAAAAGCTAAGGCTATGTAGTGTGCGATCCTGTGGCTGCTCCTTCCAGCCTCAATAAGCAGTGGGCTGCTCTTACCACTAACACCACGGGAGAAGGAATTCTTTTCTCTGGAGCCCATTTGAGAAGACGAAGCACCCAGTATATATTCTATATACAGTCAAATTCATAGTAATAAATATTCTGGAGTTGATACCTAGAATATTAATTGCCACTTCTATAGTTAATGATAAAGGCATATAGCAAGTAAACCTTTAATACCTCAATCTCTGAGGAACAGTTAACGTCTAAACCAAACAAGCACTATTTTGCTTTGTGATGTAGCATACCTTGCCTATAGAATTCTTACCCCCAAAGGATAAAGAGTAGTATTATTAATTTAAAATGACCCAGGAAATACAGAATGCTCCTCCCACATCGTCAAGCCAGAAAAAGAGTGAATAGAAATACCACAACTTCTTTCACCGTCAGTTATCAACAACTCATCAGCAGCTGAAGAGATGAGTTGTGAATTCAAACCCACCAGATAGAAACATTTTCTAAGGATTTACAAAACAGAATGTGTATAGAGCTGTGAACTACCAGGAACTGTCTTACACTACAGAAGAAAATCACAACCACAGCAGAAAACTCTCCATGGGATGCTTTCTAACAAACACCATTTTATTAGTTACCAGGGCATCTGAATTACTTGGGTTCTTTCCTTTTAAGTACATCCA